GTGATAGTTGGGAAAAGTGATGTAATTATTTTGAGGAAGCATGGTATCAATCTCACGTGACTTTTCAGCAGCTGACCAAAAACAAGGAACGATCATAAAATTACACTTCCACTATTCTGACTGTCAGTATTTTCTAACATGTCTTCACCTGACATTAGAAGGCAAGAAAGTTGCATGGGAGAGTACCGCGAAGCATCCTGGTCGAATTAAACATATCGGTTCATCTGGAACTGATCCTCTCTCAGTAAGACTCAAATTGCAAAAACCAATCTGGCAAATCCCACTTTACCTAACGGCGCCGATTTTTGACGTTAGTGACGAGCTGAGAAAATCCGGAGAGAACCTCAGTGTGTCAAACAAACGCTTAGTTGGCGGCCACGTCAGAAAATCGCCGGTTTTTCACTTTTTGACCAGAAACTATGGGAACAGCATCAGTACATCTATGAAACGACCCATCACCTGCGCATATAAAGGCACGAAGAAAATCTTGTGTGCGACTGCGGCTAACCGAACTAGACAGCTGTCGGCCGTATTGCCAGGAAATGCGAAATAAAGGAAACTGGAAAAAGGAATTACAGCACTGTATATGATGGAGACAGATTCGATCGCCTGGCCATAGTTATTGTTGTTAAGAACGAAGGTCACTATAATTTGACCAAGTGATAAGAAGCAATAATGACTAACATTGTGAAAAATACGACACTACAACAAAGATCGAGAAAATGGTAGAAACGAACATAGAACGGATGACAGCAGCAAAACGTTAAAAATACATATCATTCGAGCTATATTTCCCCAAGATCAAAAACATCGTCATAAATTAATCGTCAGACCGTCTTTGAAACGGAACACATGCCCTACTACAGTTTTTTTACCAGAAATTATCGGGTAATTTTTAAGCTGAGGAAGAAGCACGAACTTATAATCGCTTTAATTCATGTACAAAAACGAATAGGTTTGAAGGACAAATTTTCATCGCTTCAGCCAACGGCAACGATCGTTAATTTGTTTTAACTTCATTTCGTCCAAAATCGACGCTCTGAACCTTGATGGTTTACTACTTCAAAGATTTTTTTATTGACAAAGCCTGCCGTTACTAAGGAGTTCACTGGGAATATAGAAAAAAAACTGAATAACCAGCGGCTACTATTGCGATCCACAGAAACAATGCGTCGATATTACGTATCATTTGTCTTGTGACAACCAAGAACGAGGATACCAATTACCGCCCAAAATGGCGCTACCGTAAAATCGTTTGATTTCATGGATACACCTCGAAATTAAAACTGTGACTTCTGAACAATCTCACCGAACAAAATTTAATAGAACAATACAAAGAAAACATCATCTAAAATTAACGAGCGTTTCTAATTTTTGTTCTGTAGCTTGAATGACACTTGTTGAACTTAGCTTAGTAAAAGTAATTCTTTATCTGGTCAAAGTTCCTATTGCAAATGATTTCCTTTAACATTTTTCTATTACTTCAAATGCCGTGACGAAGATCAACCAAAAGGGTTTGTGAAGCATTCCAAAGGCAAGATGCTATCCTGAAATGTCACAGACAAACTTGACGGGGTTATAAAAACTATAACTGGCAGAAGTCCTCAAAATGGTTATAAAAAAACGAGTCAAGACCCTATAGCAAATCGATAAGGCATTACCAACGTTACATCGCATTTTTACGGAAGAAGATGACTGAGACCAGTCGGAAAAGCGAGCAAACAATTTGTCAGAAACTTTGTTCATTCCATGACAGTCATTCAAATAGCTCTTTCTTATGTAAATTGATTTGTCATCAACAGTTACACAAAATACTATTGCGTTCCATGACTCAGCAAGATCTATCCTTGTTCCGCCATTCGTCTTTACCCCGCTCTTATAACTTATTGCCTTCTTCCTTCTTTCCCACTCTATCATACGTCCCTGCTATTCTACCGATTAACAACCGGGTAACGAACGAGTAGGTGCTGATAACCAGCGGTTTGAAAAAAACTTTCAGATGAACTCGGAGATTGGCGCCTGACCTGGTTGCAAAAAACGACCCTAAAACAGAACGGTCTTTTGAGAACCTTTCTTTTCAGAGCAAAGTGGTTGTAGATAGGTTGGAAAACAATACGAAACACTGAGAGACATCGTTGAGGCAAACCTGCTAGCGACGAGGAATATGACTAATATCTATTTAATTTCAGAATAGACTAATATCGATCAATTTCATATATTATCTCTAATGGTCAGATATAATAAACCAGGGTTGCTCTGCTCCTTAAGTTCTGTTTGCTTTTGCTAGCTCTCGTGACAATGACACAACAACAACAGCAAAAATTACTGTTTAAAGAATTCCTTGAAACTCACACATATTAACATAATGACCCGGATCATTCTGTAGGGATGACATACACGGAATGACGTAATACAGTTATGGAGGACTATGTTGTTAACGTCACAATGAACTTTGAAACGGTCAGATAATGAGGACCTGCATATCTATCTGCTGAAATCCACTGTTAACAGAGAATCCTTATCTGATAAGGATTATCCATAGCATCGTGGAGACTGCAGGTCGAGTCTCCATTTGCTCACAGGACGACTGTCGCAGTGCTCGGAACACAGATCGCGCAAATCACTCTTTCTGACTGCTTTATCGACCTTCACAAGTTTTTTCTCCATCTCATATCGGTAACTGCTAACTGTAAGGAGCAGTGATTGCAAATATTGTATTTCGTCATGCCGCAATATCGACAAAATAAGTAAGCCGAAAACAAAGTAAAAATAACGATTAAATGCTAACATACAGAACGAATCCAAAATAAAGTTATAGACGCAGCAACGGATCAAGAACAATGGTTCAAGAAGTAACCGTTAGAAAAGCGCCCAACTAACCTGCCGGAGTAAGAACATCAGATCACCTAATCTACTCTCCCTCATTGAACATATGAACCTTAGGAAAAGAGTCAATCCGGCATGCGACACCACAATGATCATACCAAACAGACTGGACTGGTCTGACAACATGATCTCAGTGTTCGCGAAGGTTCACTGGGCAACTTACCTTAACAGTTGCTACACAAAATGTTTAATCTGACAGACTGGCTGACTGACTGAATATTGAATTATGTCACATTTGATAAGCAGAATATTCAGATCACCACCTGATTCAAAAACGTAAATTCACTTTTTTAACAAACAATTGTACTTAATTATTAGCAAAAGAAGTTATCACTGATGAATAGGCTAGTCACTGAATGCATAAGAATGAACAGCAAGCACAGCATCTTACCAGTGGGAAAACTATTCCTTGCTGAGAGAAATAGCTATGTTAAAATTGCCCAGAAAATTCAAGCATATCGGGGATTCTACTCAAGCGGTATAGAATTCTGTCTAATTACATTATTTCCCTATGGCAGTAAAAAAATTTACATCTTTCTTTTACATCTACCCTTCTGAGCAAGTGAAACATGTTTACTATTCACTCTGCCCTTAGGCGAAACTGGAACATCAAAAATGCAGTGAATTTTTTTTAAGTTATCGATTTCTGTATTCTTTTATAGACGCGGCAAATTCAGTTTATTCCATGTCGCCAAGCGATATCTTTCTTAAAGGGTTATTGAAAAAAACATTTCTAGAAGTAAACTTTACGTGGCCGACTGCAGGAAGCGAAGTCTGAGTTCGCCAAATGAAATTTGCGGGCGGCACAATTTATAAGCTGAATTGCAGAAGGGAGTACTGAACGCAGAACTTTACTACCACATATGTTTTGCTACCACTTAATTCATTATTTAATTACTTTGAGTGTGAAACACTCCTGTTACTTAGAGTAATGATAACATAACAAGAAAACGAGTAACAGGCAAACAGATAGTAATAGCAATCACAAATAAACTAATGAAGAACAACTAATAAAAACTGAGAACAGTAGATGAAAAGAAAGCAACTTTCAAAATACAATCCAAAGGCAAAGAAAAACTTGTCTCTGAAATTGAATGCAGAAATGTGAGAGAAGTTGAGAATAAAATTCCCGCGGAACTTAGAAATGTCTCTTTATCAGCCTTAATTTAATTTCTAATTATGACAGAATCCTGCAGCGCAAGAAATAATGTGTATCGTAAAGACAAAGCAATTTCAGGAGTAAATTTTAATAAGAGCATTGCGGTAGTAAGCAGAAGAATACGTGCCGTCCTACCAACTGCTTGAATAATAAGATTTCTAATACAAGTAATCGAGATAAATAAAATTAAATGCTCACCTCGCTTCGGGCGAGTAGCTCGTCGTCACTGTGCTTTTCGGTAGAGAACCGTTGTTTGCCCGAAATTCTTCGCTTGCTGTTGGCGTTCATGTTCATCGGTCCACGTCCCCCGTATATTCTAATCACGTTCGAAGCCCTATCGGATCGAAAAGACAATGAACCATCGTCCAGGGCCGGCATCTCGCTACCACGCCATTTAGTCACTTTAACCTACGTTATGCGTTGACAAAGGCTGCCGCCACATTCGATCGATGGCGGTTCAATTTGAATACGACAGTTTGATTCACAAGTACAACCTTTTCTTCAACCGATTCAGGACGCTTTACTCGGGTTTCTCACTGAACGAATTCAATTTCAGATGACTATATGAAGGAAAACAATACAGAAAATATAGTACTGATAAATGAGCTCATTTATTGCCTAAAATATATTTAATCGTGCTCATTTATTGCCAATCCCAGCAAAATAAAATTATATTTACACATAGCAAATGATATGTCAGGTTTTTAATGAACATGCTAGCCCTCGACAAACAATTTGACTCAGAACTGTCCTGTTTTTACACATAGGAAATTTAGCACTTTCAGATTAGGCAATTGTTTCTTGCGTTATTTTCGCTTGATGTTTGTTCTCATTTGTCGACCGCCGGTAACATCTTCAGTACGGTCGTATGCCACTCTATATTTATCAATTTTTTGCATTTATAAAGGTTACTAAAAGGAATAATTAAATAAATACTTACCGGTTTAACACTTTTACCTTGGCAGATGTTCTGTAACAGTTCTACGCAGCGACAGCCTTGCTGGAGAATCAGTGAGCAGGTGAATAAGATCAAGTACTCAGGGTTCGTGTTAGCTGGTGATAAAAGGCAGGGAGAAGAGACCGACCAACAATTAGAATGATTGGCGGCACCATATATGAAATACCCTGAATTTTGGTATGTTGACCAAAGCAGAACTAAATCTGAAGAATAAGCTCTCTCTCTGCTCACGTCAGTCTTCATCCCGATGCAATCGTGTGTCTTAGACCATGACTTAGAATCTTTGCTTGCAAATCAAGCGGCTGAAATTAGCTTTTTTTGTGAATCTTTGAGATGGGGTACCGAAAAATCTTTGGTGTACAGCCGCTTCTTCTTCAGGTTGATACGTCGCAGTTGCAATGATTTCGGCACGTCTTGCGAATACCGCCAGAATAAAACAGCAAGTACTTGCCAAGTCGACCGATCGAAGTTGGAGAAGGTAAATGATAACGGATGAGAGTTAAAGACTGTGCAGCACACGGAACTTAGGAGACAATCTCTCCCTCCACAATTGTCACAACGTTCCGGTAACATCAAAGAAAGACACTGGCCATACAGGAGTGTCAAAGAGGCATTAATCATCCCGTCATGCAACTATATCAACCATGAAAAAGGATTCGACCATTGCGCGGATTGGGTGATCTTTGTGGCCTGTGTCGCCCAGCAACTATTTAATCAGTAACACTGACCAGAGTTTATTCTTCTGGCTTTAAACCTACCGAGCGCTGCGGACAAATAGACAAACCTTCTTCCCTGGAGAAGGTTCTGGAGGCACGGCCCGAGTCTTAGGCGTTAGTCAGCCATAGCCATGTTTTTTGCCGTTTTTCGGTGACATTCATGCAAGAATGGAACAGCAGCAAAAGTATAACACCGTTTAACTGAATTTAATGCTATCACGGTATAATCCTCGCATTATCCTCTTATTTTTGGACGCCCATGGGTTGAACTGAGTAAGCCCAAGCTCCATGATATTTGATCATCTGTCACGCGCAAATTATTACATGCTTTCTAGGGCAACATTATTCGCGCGAAAAATGATTGAACGTTTAAGTGTATGAAAGTATGGTTCATTAGGAGAACGCTTAGCGACAATGGCAAACAGTTTTTTAGTTTGACTGAAGTAGCTGAGCGAAACAGACTCAATTTCAGTTGGGAGATTTTAAGGATTACCGCTACATTCTTCAAGATTAAACCATCTCAGTAATGCATCAGTGTTCGAGTGATCGGCTGACCGCGGCTTAGTGGAATTCAAACTTCGTAGTTCCTAAGTCTTCGAAGCATTTCGGGCAGTCTGGTTGGTTGTTACTTATTGATTCAGACAATAATTATTAAGACGAGTTTTTAATTATAAATTTAATTTTTGAAGAACGCAGAGACTTGCATTATTGACAACTTAATGCAGGAAAAATGAAATACATTGATATCATTGTCATAATTTTGATATACCGTCCAAGCACACGTAAAGCCTTCCATTTCCTAACATTTTGACAGAAACTGCTGGATATTAACCGAATCATGTAAAACGGGAATGAAAACAATCAAGGTGTCGACCAACTTTTTAAGCAAATGGCCTCCTAAGCAACTTGAAACAAGGGACCGTGTAGTGCGACGTGAAATCTGATCTGCGCGGAGTCAAGTGTTATTATTCTTAAATTATGGGCATATGATGCCGGTATTCGCATGTAATTATGTGATTTAATAGTGATAGTATTATATAACTAGGATAGAAAGTGTCTCAGAATATGTAATGCTTAAATTTAATTTCCTTCAAAGAGAACAGAAGTTGAATTTCATATTAAATGCTTAATAAAACTTTGTGTAGCATTCGTGCGTGACGACATGTTGTGCGTGGAAATGAACATATACTTTGCAACCTTGTTGGGGTTGCTAGGGAAGAAGAAATGGAATCGAAGCGCAAGGTTTCGGACAGGAGCTGAATATATAGGCAACAGATGCCAACGTAGTTTTTTTTATATGTCCTTCTCAGCAGTTCTGGTGTTTTATACAATTTGACCGCCGTTGCTTCGTCTTCTATGACCAATTCGAGTTGAGTAGCTGGCTGCACAAATCACTTCTGGAATGAGTTGCTGCTGATAAGAAAATGCGATCCTCAAGATGATTGCTCTTTCATCTTTCAGCGACTCGGAAGCCAATGCTTCCTGTATTTTTCATGGGCGTGATATTTCTCCTCTGTGATCGTTTTAGAGCTGGCTGTCATTTATCTAGGCGCATACGGCCTCCATAATCTACACATATTTCTGGTCGTCTGCATTGCCGTAGATGCATTTGTTTGCTTCTATGGACAAGATGTTCTTGAAGTCGTTTGCATAGAAGCTCCAGTTGTTTGTTTCAGTGGTTAATGAACTGCTGCTCAATACGGAAAGTAAGTAAAAATAACAGGATTACAATCACCTTGAAAGTATCTCTATCTTTTCGAATCATTTATCAGGCAAGCTCAGATGTTGCAATAAGCAATATTTTAAAGTGCTCAGAGTAATTGTTGAAGTATTTGATGCATTCTCTAGAGAAACCCAAGCGAAACGAGTCACTGATTTGAACTTATATTTCATACATAGTTTATAGAAACAGCAACTTCCAATTTGTCTTTTAATCAGAGGAAGTTAAACACGGATTCACGAGTGTAAGACCAGTGCCTAATCCAGAGCATGATCCACAATGATTTTGTATCTCACGGTGGTCAACCAGCTGCATTAAGTCCCAGCTTAGTGGATTAGTACTCCTACTTGGAAGTCTGGCTTTATTGGAACTGGATTCATGGCATGGATTATGAGGCGAATGCACCTTTGTCAGCATGAACCGCTGCAAATGACGCAGATGTATGGAAGAGTAACTAGAGAGTTTTATGTAAAAGTCTGGAACAGAAGAAAGAGATTGAAATTCCTTTTGCGGATTGCAGCCTAAATAAGTAAGCCATCTGCTTCAAGCTTATCAGCCATGTTTCGCATCACTTTTATCATCGTTCCAGCCAGTGAAGAGAGTTTGAAAGTCTGGAGTGCAAGAGAAAAATTTGAGGCCTGAATATGCCACTGTCAGGACATTACTAGGTTACCACAGGCGATGATTCTCGTGCTTATGAACAAAAAAGGAGGGTTCTCACATATTCCGATTTATATGGAACGTCAGAACCTGGATGCAATTGTGTTTAGCTATCGAGAAGCTATATTGCCGATATTTCTACTCTATCCCAATGGTGCTGAAAATAACTTATTACACCTGCTCAATGGCTAATTCACTAAAAATATCGAATTAACGATTTAATAGGAAATTTCTCTTTACAGCGATTTATTAATGTCTTAATGATTAACTCTGGCAGTTGCTATAAAACTAAAGTTTATCGTAACTCTGTTAACACTGATAAACATTGTAATTCCCTGACTTAGGTTACGTCGACCTAAGTACATATTTTAAATACTTTAAACAATACATAAGCGAAAATTTTAATTAAAATGGTACAGTTATTTTTAACACTACACGATGAACGATTACGCACGAGTGTGCCCGTGTAATTCCGACTCTCCCACCTGCGCCCACGGACGAACAAATGCGCCAATGTGTGTGCACTATGGCCGTGTAGAGTGTGTTTTCGTCGTAATGTCACGCCAATATAAATTTCCAACGGATGCCAATATGCCTTCAACAAGAAACCAACCAAACACCGCCGTTGCCGGTCCCCAAGCCCGTTGACAACAAAGAGGGGCAGGAGACCGTGGCTAAAAGTCGGAAAATTGTAACGTATTCTCACTCAGAGGGAAAGAACAACAGTTAGTTGATGAGGCCATAAAGTACCAACTCGAAACAGTTGAACTCTCGTCAACGAAACGCCAAGATTCTGTACTCCTGAACCTCAATGGATGGAAGCTATTCTACTCAGGCGTCGATATCAGGACACGCGCTCAGGCCAGTGTTGGTGTTCTGCTAGTACCCAACCTCGCAAATAGAATTATTGATCAGAGGCCTATCAATGGAAAGGTGGAAATCCTCCAACTGAAGCTACAACAGGCTAAATCAATGACCTTGGTACAGGTCTATGGGCCCAATTTGGAGGGAGATTATGAGACATCCCTTGAGGAAGTGCAGTGTGCTCAGTCCGAATCGCCGAATACAGAGTACCTCATATTCATGGGGGATTTTAATGCGCATGTCAGAGTAGAAGCTAAAAAGTCGAACGGAGTGATTGAAAAAAAGCCCTAGCGACCTCAATAGCGACCCTAGCAATAACGGCATGAAGCTCTCGCGATTTTGTGAAAACGACAAACTTATGAACACCTTCTTCGAGCATCTT